AAGAAATGATGCTAGGTACGTTAGAAATGCTTAGAAAACCACTAGGGGGACATACTGAGTTTCTGATTGGATATTCATGTCATATATAGAAGTAAGTGTTTATAAGGGAGAGTTTCTAAAAATGGAAGGAGGTGAGCGGGGTGTGGCACTTTGTTTGATTTATTATGTGAGCAATATCTTAGCAAATAGAAAAGATAATAACTTCTTATTCTATATTCTAGCTAGTAAGTATCTGTAATTTGAGTTTCTAATTCGTATGAAACTATAGAGTTAGTATTTTGACTTCACAAACATCTAATTTGAACCAATGCTGCATTCAACATACCACGTGACACACAAAAATCTATGTTTATCTGTGTTTTTATAATATTTGCTTTTAAATTAAGAAATCGAGTAATGTATAGTACTAAAATTTGAATTATAATATACAGTTTGATACCAAACTTATTGACATAAATTCATGAAATAGTAGTCCAATAAAATTTTGAATGCGAGTCAACATACAAGATGACATGGCCTTTCACCCGTGACCCGTCTCGAAAGGGTTAATTGAATATTTGCAAACTACATCTTAAATGTGCTTAAGGATTTTTTGTGTTTAAGTTTTAATATTTATATCTGCAGTAGGTTTATTCTGCATGGTCTTCTGTTTCATATGTGGGTCCTTATCCAAATTGTTATAAACCTTCATTTTATATGTGTTACCTGCGGCTAAGTTTATAAATTTATCATGTAGGTTTGTCCTGTCTGTGCCTCCATGCCTTGGGGAGATCCTCAGAAAAAAAGTGCTAACTTTCTCATCCACCTCAATCTACGACACAAGTTTGAATATGAATTTTTTGTGGTAAGTTCTGTTCTTTTTTTCTTTCTACTTTTATTAACCATTTCATGATGGGCTCAGTATAAAATACGTGAGTTCAGTAATTACAGTTGCACACATTAAGTATTTATACTATAACTTGTAATGCTGTATTTGTATTTTCACAAAATTTGGTAGACTTTAGTAATGATTCCAAGTCTTTTGTACACAAAAAATCAGATTTTTTAATGAAGTATTTTTACTAAAGATTTTTTTGTGAAAATATTGAATCTGTTTCTTTACTAGTTCGAGTGCGAAGTGATTTTCATGTCATGATTAGAAAACTATTCTTCATTCCAAAAATCTCAAATATTATTTGTGTAATCTCTAAAACCTCCTAAATACATTTCAAACATTTGTTTTTCAGTAAAACTTTAAATTTTGTCTGTTATTTTCTCTACCCTAACTATATGGGGTCTGTCAATTTGACCAACCTCGTAACCACCATAGAAATGAGGAAATAAATATAAATTACGCTTTTTTTATTCTAGAATGACTACAAATTATAACATGAAAACACGAATGCTTAGTCTAAATAGCATAAATCTTATAACATTATACAATGATGTGGTGCATGTGCACTGATGTTATCATATCCAATTACATAAAACTGGCCTTTACAGTCTGTCTTGGCTGTTTTAGTGGACTAGTATTTTGTAAAATACCGTCACATTTCAGTTATAATACATTATATATGTATATACATTATTACTATTTACAAACAAGTTCTTAAACTTATTTTTCTTAAAACATAAAACAGTAAGTAAAGAAGTAAAGAAAACAATTATCTCTTCGAGCTACAACCATTGTACTTGGTTGCTGCTTGATGTAGGTTGCTAAGCCGTAAGAAATTTCTCATGTGGAGGATATGAAATGAAATCATTTTTTTTAGGTTTTATTTATACAGTTGAATAACCAAAAGATTATAAATTACTATATCAGTACCATGGAATTCCACTATCATTTATAAAGCTTAATAACTAAGCTGTATTTTGGTCTAAAAAATATAAAATTTCGAGCATACTAAAGACACAACCTATCTCCTTGAAATCTTATTTCAAAAGAACGAGATGGCGTCCTAACACTTGAAAATGGCTGAGAAAGCCACTAAGGAGATATTCTCAGCTTTCAATTGGTTATTCACATGTCATATACACAAGTAACTGTACATAAGGGACCGTTTCCAAAAATGGAAAGAGATAAGAGTGGCCACAGTGCTTGAGTCAGTACATGAGATATATCTTAGCAAATAGAAAAGATAGAAGGTTTATTTTATATTCTAGCTTGTCAATATTGGTAATTTAAGTTCCTAATTTGTATGAAACTATAGACTTAGTATTTTAGCATCACAAACATCTAATTTGAAGCAGTGCTGCATTCAACATACTAGGTGACACATAAAAATCAATGTTTAAGTGTGTTTTTAATATTTACTTTTAAATTAAGAAATTGAATAATGTATAATACCAAAATTTGAATTATAATCTACAGTTTGATATGAAACTTATTGGCATAAATTCATAAAATAGTAGTTCAATAAAATTTTGAATGCAAGTCAACAAACATAATGTCATGGCTTTTAACCTGTGACCCGTAGTGATAGGGTTAATGCTAAACATTGAAAGTTAAGGTTCTGTACTACATTTAAAAATTATTCAGGTAGTTCAAGTGAATACTAGTAATTAATGTTTCATTTCTGAGGATCAAGACAAAAATTTGCATACATGTAATTTCTAAATTAAATAACTTTTATGTAAGCAAACAAAATTGATAATTATTAAATCAACTGGTTATCTAACTATTTGATACAAAAGTAATTTTTTACTTAACATATTGTATAAGGAAAAATATAGCTATTATTCAGCCATTTTCCTAATAATATTGATGTGAGTGAAGAAAACATTGTTAACATGATATGGGGTAGGATGACATCACTATTCACCTTTCTTCAAACAATTTGATAGCATTGTTGGAGATGGATACTTTATACATTTGCTGCTGTATAATAAATTAAACATTCCAGACGTGCCATATGATATCTTACCTCCTCTCACAAAATAGCTTTTCTGACTTTTACTGCCCTCTATATGTGCAAATTTTCACTCACCACTATCCTCGATACTCCCACCTACCCTCATGTGAGGCAGTTGCATGATAGCATGCAACAACCCTCCACCAATATGAGTGCAACACAACTCCTGGCACAGCTGACTTCCTCTGTGCAACTTAGCCAACTTCTCAATTGACACTCGTGGTGTTTAGGCATGTTTTTTACATGTGCTTTCCTTTACAGAATTTTCAATCAGTTCCCTGTTTTCTTATGCGAACTTAGTTTTTCTTTACGTTTGCTACATGTTAACTTTACCTGTCTTTTGTTATAATACATGATTCTTTGGAGCTCCCTGTTTGAACTTTTCTACTTGCATTTTTTATTGAAATGGAATAGATTAAGGTGAACAAACTTGAATTAATCTAAAATAAGAATGAGAAGTCATAATGATGATATTTTGAATACTTGGATAACTGGAAGAATAAATTATTTTGTAACATTAATAAATTTAATTGTAATTTCAATTAACTGATTTCTGTGGCACAAACCATGTAAACAGTGCTCATGGGTAATTAATTATTAAAGTTGATTAACCATCTCTACCCACTTGCTGGTTGTGCTGAGACACTTACTGTAAAGAATATGTCAACAAAAGTAGTACCCACGTGCTGGGTGTGCCGAGATGTTTTCATAATGAACAGAAGTTTTTGTTACCATAAAATTTTTATTTTGAATTTAAGATACTTGAAAATTATCACAAAGTAATATGTTTAACTGATTTTAAAATAGAATCTCCTGTTCAAGCTCAAAATAGAAAAAATTATGAAGTATTTAAATAAATATGACATACACATACATTTATAAAAATCTTCAATCCTTATCATGGATTTTTTTCTATGGAAGGGTACTGAGAGGTTGCATGTAAAGTATGGTAAATTTTTTTTAGCATGTATGATGTTAAATATCAAGGAACCCTCTTCTCTACATGATGAAAAACAAAAAAAATCTTGACAATAATGTAATGTCTATGCACTATACAGTTGAACACGAAGTAATAAAGTTTACTAACTTTTTTTTTTCAGTATACAGTAGTGTATTTATTCATAGAATGTGTATTCCTACCTTGGGACAGAAACTAGGTTGGATTCCTTCAATTATATTAGCTAGTTGTTCTTTTAAGTGGGATGTGAGTGTATAATTCAGCAGTTTTGACTAAAGTTGATCAAAACATGGCATGATCTGTGTTTAATCATACATTACTATTGTAAAGAAATAACCAATAAGCAGTAGTCAAGAGGGAAACTTGAAACACTGTACTGACACTTTGGGTGAGAATTTGTATTCATTTTATTTTACACTGAAAAGTGTTTCTTTGCAAAATAGGAGTGTGAATTTTTCATTTACATATTGTACAAAGCTTCAGCTTTTTTTAACAATTGTCAATTGTAGTAATTACTGCCTCCCCCCCCCCCATAAAACCTACAGTTAATAAAGTAGAATGTCTTGATTAGCTAATTCGTTTTTTTAAACTTTCTTTCTAATTTACAGGACTACAACTTAGATGACAGCACAGCCCTGCAGAAAGCTTTAGAAGCATCTCTGAAAGATTTGTAAAGTTCAACAGACTTCATTATCATCCGTTATATATTTCTTGATAATTTGTTTAGCTACAGTGCTTTTTCTTAAGAAAAGAGTTTATGTTTTGGTGTTATATAAATGTATATACTTTGTAAAGTTCATCTTTATCTTTAAATAATCCCAGCAATCTTCTACTTAACCATTACCACCTGTTCTTTTAAAGTTATAAACAAATTGTAAAATATAAAAAATGTTGTTTATTATTTTGAGAAATATTATCTTCACTTGGACTACTTTAAAATTATGTGTGAAGTGACTATGCTTTAACAGTGATACACTGTACTGTTTTTCACTTTGTCATTGTGGCTATCTAATAGCATAACCTGTCTGTATGTTTGACATATTTTGGATTTGATTATATGATTCTTATCTGAAAGTTTTCCAGAAACTTCTTAATTTACATTTAATTCTGTAATTTATGTGTAATGTTACAGGAAGCATGACATTCACGTTTGATGCTGTGTCCAAGAGTAAGATCACTGTGGACAAAGAGTATGAAATAAGAGAATATTTAATAATCTTGATTAAAGTTTGGTCCTTCAGTAATCTAATTAAGAGTATACATAATAAAGAAAACTTTCAAGGTCTTTCATTGAGAGTTTTACTTATACAACAAGTAAAGTTTTGTGTTTGACATGGTACTGTATTACAGTATGGTTAAGAACAAGTTTCTCAGATCAGAAAAATAATATTTGTGGTTATTTATTTTTCCCCCAATAGTTTTTTCAAAAGAGGTATCTTAAAAGGTATAAATTATCTATTAACTTCAGCCTGTTTCTCTGAGTCAGATCATTTTCAATCATGATGCCAGTATTTAAGTCCATTTAGCTGGGTTAAATCACTCTAAGGAATACTCGCAAATGGATATGTCCTTAGCTGAAGTACAAGATATTGATCAATAAGCCCAAGCTTGTTCTAGAGGAGTTGATGGAAAGAATGTGGGAACAAGTTGCCCTACGATAGAACTCTGAATTTCAGAGCTGGTGAGTGCAGTTCAGATCTGTGTCATACTACCAATTATTGCATGGACTTTAAGCTGTGGATGCATTTAAGAGTGACAGGTAATCCTTTAATATAGATGGTGATGTTAGGATGGTGCTAACTGGCTTTCTTCTCTATGTTTAGTAGTTCAAAATTAGGGTCAGTGGCAGATAATCTTAGTAGCTTTACCATAAATACAAAAATACAAATACAAAAAATATGCATGAGAGTTCAATCCTTTTTAACTTCTTTTAAGAAATTGGTGAAGAAAGTATAAACAAATCTTGCAGATATTTTACATCTAGTTCAGAGTACTGAGGAATTACTTGGTATTAAAAATTAGATTGTCCCTGAATCCCTACAATATAGAATAGGATATTTAGTTGTGAAAAACTACATTAATAATAGTTAACATTGAACACTGAAATTCTTCCTTCTCAGTGTGGAATTTTAATTTCTTGAAAGTTTTTGAAGCACATAATTTAAATGAGGCAGGAACCTATATGATGAGGTTTTGGAACATATTTTTGTATATATATATATATATTTGTGTGTTACATTTAACATATTTTTTAGCAAAATTTGAGAAATACGTTTTTTTATGAGCCCTTTAATGTTGTTGGCATTTTTAAACAGTAATGACTTCAAATAGTATTTTATTAATTTTGTAAACTACTTTCTTTTTGTGAAGCTATAAGCCACCGTACATTATAGGTAATTGTTGCACAATTATTATTCAGCTAATTTTCTTTCTTGGATGGGAATCACCTGAAATTTTGTTAATGGCCCAGTTAAGTTCCATGCATTGTCCTAGCTACAAGTTGAAAGATTTTGTCATTGTCCTAGCAACAAGTTGAAAGATTATGTCATTGTCCTTGCTACAAATCTAAAGATTGTGTCACTTAGAGCAATGGTTCTTGACTTTTTTTTTGTATTTATGAACCAAAGAATCTTGTGGACTCTAATACTCTGGTCTATTGGCAGAAGCAGATCCTACAGTGTATAAAAGCAACTGATATAACTAAGTAAGTTAATAAAGTTTTTAAATAAAACATTATTTTCATTCAATCAAGCATTGTATAATAATAATTATTTTTTAACAATAATTTGGAAACTCAATCTTAATTATCACATATCCCCTTTAAAATATTCATGAATCCCAAGGGTGCTGTGGACTACAGGTTGAAAACAATGGAATTATAGATTGTTTAACTTTGCCTTCTGATGATGCAGATATATTTTTAGATAATAACTTAAAAGAAAATAAATATCAACCTGCAGCAGATTACACTGTTGTCTTATAAAACTATGGTTTATGCATCCCAATGTCTTGTTACATTAAAACATCTTTATAGCTTTCACACTTAGACTGCTCAAAAGTGAACATTTGCTGAGCCCTTTATCTCTGTGTTGCATGATGCACCCATTGTACCAAATAAGGTTATTCCTGTTGGGGTACATCATATATTTTTGTATTTCAACAGTTGTTATTGGATTATTAAACAGATTCCTGTTTTTCATTCAGTTTTGTGTTAGTCATTCTTAAAAAATCCTAATAATCCAACCCTGAGCATTTTTTAAAGATGGACCTACTTTCGTTAAAGATTTAAACTTTAATTTTTTTGCAGAAGGAAAGCTGTAACATATCTGTAATTTGTGCTATTAAATATAAGCTAATTTAATGTACTTGATGTGTTTTTTTATGCTTAACATACTTTCCAATGTCTGCTAGTAATTAAAAAATAATAATTTACACTTTGCCTGAACATAAAGTGTCACAACTGTTAGCAAAAAAGTTTATTTTTTACATTGTCCATATAGATCATCACATAATTACTTAACCGTTTGGAGAAATAGGATACCAAAAATGTTCATGATGGTATTTTGGTACCTTAATTGTAGCTTATTTTAGTTACAGTGTGTATGTATTAGAACTGTGCTTATGTGTTTAGTCATCTACAACAATGAATTGCATCTAAGTGGTTGAAGCAACATATCTTGGTATGGTATAATCTTTGTGTACATCCAGTAAGAGATGTAAAGCTAACAGTATAGTTGTAAGTTTTCTGTACACAGGACCTACAGCTGGCTTAGTAAAGTTATTTATTAGCCTATTATGATGAATTGTGAAGAAATCAAATCTGGCAAGAACAGCACTGAGCAGATGAGATGTGAATGGTTTGTGGTGAAGTCATGCGTCTTCTAGAAAACTTCTGATTCCTGTGATGTTTCTTGTGTAGTTTCATTTCATTAGATTTGACCATTACCTTTTTCTACCAGTTAAACATTAATATAAGCTTCTCCATATATATTCTGATAGAACTCTAATTTAAAGTGCCATATATAACATTATGTACTGTAGAAAATGAATGGTCATCTTAAACAAATATGATTACTGATTGATAACCCAAAATGTGAACAAAGAAGCAAAAATAGTAATTGTAGTTTAAATAATCAATTTTAATGACACTTACTCTGAAACACACAGTCCTTGTCTGTCAGACTATTTTCTGAGTGAAACATTATTCATAGTATTATGTAATATTGGTATTGTACAAATTATCAAAGTTGTGTTAGATTAAACTATGTAATGACTTTTTGACCACTATAAATAGTATTAGCATTAAAAGTGAAATTTTATTATTATATTAATGATATGAATTCACTGGGGTTTGTTAGGGTTATTAAGGTTTCTGTTGTACAGATTGCCTACTGAGGATGTTATTGCTTTCACTGTAGAAGTTTTATTTTGGTATAGATGTGTGTCATGTACCACTTTCTGGATGTTTGGGCCCAAAATAATA